GGAGGGGAGGGGAGTCATGTCATAGATGCTTTAATATACATTTTGTCTTCCTCTTTCTAATCTGACAGCTTTATATGTTTATTTCAGCTTTAATAAAAAGGGGGTTACACATGTCTCACAGAACTACCCTTCCTCAAAAGGGGAAGGTGATGGGGTGGAATTATTTCAGCTTTGCTGCAAGGAAGGAAGGCAAAAATTATTTTAGATTTGCTGCAAGAGCCATGGCAGGAAACAAAAGCAGAGACAGTCTGGTATGGTAGGCCTGTAAGGCTTGTCCTGATAACTAGTGCACTTGAGTAAGTACTGAGAGATGCTCTCCCACAAGGACTTTACTCAGGCTGCGTGCTCAGCATGCTCCCTGGAACTGCAGCATGCATGCATTTCCCTGCAAAAGTGCATCCCTCTGTCAGCAAAAGGAGATGCTGAAGCTCTCAGCCGAGTGCTGAATTTCTGGCAGTACAGAGCAATTCAGCTTCCAGCTGCTGCTGCACAGAGAATTAATCAGGGCTGAAGAACTGGAGCAGAGCAAGCCCTACAGCTTCTGAGGGGGTGGTTGGTTGTCACCCTGGCCACCTGTCCCCAGCTGACATGACACACAAGCTGCACAGGGGAAGCATGAAGAGTTTGCTCACTGCTCTCTCCTGTGCTTTGGGTGAAAACACAGGGCATAGCTTCATCCCCCTGATTTAGCTAAGTAGCTGGGTGTGGGAGGGGAGCACAGCTCTTCTCTGACAGTGTAGATCACCAGTGACAGCGTTTGGCACAGAATGATTTTTCTTCTTGGCTGGACTTAACTCTAGTGACAATTGTCTCTTTCTCCTTTCCTTCCCCTCTGCGTGTGCTTGGAGAGTTTGCACCAGGAGAAACAGACCTGTTCTAGGCTGCCAGGGCAAGAAGTGCAAATTAGAAACCAACCTCCTGTGGAGTTATAAAGAGGGAAATACCAGAGTCATGCAGCATTACAAACTAACACTTCCATTTTGTCAAGTTTGAAAGTAATGGGAATTCTAGGAGCTTAAAGTGGTTCAATTGGTCTAAAAAACCACGGAGACTACTTGTCCAAATAATTTATTTGATTCCACCAAACAACTTGCTCTGAGTGGTGTTCTTCAGCCAAAATAAGTTTCCCAAGGTGGGGGGGCAGGAGAAGACAGACAACATGTCTATTATGTATGTGTTTGTCAGCAGACAAGCTTCTTGCTCTTGGAAGGGGAACAAATTATGAACTTGGGAATAAGCAAACAGTGGAAAGTAGGTCTGACTGAAAATGCCCAAGTCCTATCCAGTGACATTTTTGTTTTGACTGAAGCAGATGACCAGCCTGACAACAGTAGCTGGTGCTATCTTTCTCTCTTTCATTGCACCTTGGCACTAGTCCGAATGCCACCACAGCTGCATCCTCTCCCATGAATATAAGCAAGGGGCCCAAGAGTGCAGTTCTGACATGCTATCTGCCTTGCACACAGCTGACTTGTAGGTACACCAAGACAGGGAAACATCTTGATTTTTTTTCCAGCCTGAGCATAAGGGTGAACTTCTCTGAGGGGTGGCTCCTCTCCCCCAGTCATCCAGAGCTACAGGGAGAAGAGAGAGAAGGTGAAAGCTAGCTAGCAGCTAACAGCTTTCCATTCTTGGACCAGTACAAATTAGAACAGTGAGGAAAGGCTACATCTGAACTACACAATTGTGAGTTAGTGCAGTGCAAGTAAGCCTAGGCTGGGCCGTTCTGCCTCCCCATCCTTACTGGAGCTTTTCTGCAGGAGATAAATGTGCCAACTCTATTCCCATTGTACGCTCCCCCATTTCTACCCTTGTTTAATGGAAACACTGGAGAAAAGTTTGCCAGAGACTCTCAAGGCTCCAGACCTAGACTCAGCTTGAAAAGCCAGATGGGACACAGCAGACTGTGTCTGGGGGAGCAGGATGCCACTCCTGCTCAGAGCAATGGGGTGACAGTCCCACAGCTGGGAGACATGAGAGCACGCTGTGTGAGCTGAGGTGAACTGGCCTCCTCAATAGAAATATCCACAGAAGACCATACACAAACATGCTGCTCCTGCAGTCAGAACTGCTGTCCTACAATAGGTGCTGTGGAGGCACGGGGACGCATACATTTCTGGCATACACAGGAGAAGGGGCGGTGAGGTGAGATAGCAGCTTGGGCCAAGTGAAAAGAGCGGGATCAATCTGGAACATGACAAGGAAGAGAATGTGGTAAAACATTGTGCTGTTCCTGAAAATCTCCAGAGAAACTGAAGTTCCTGTACCTTTTGGGCTACGGAAAAGGTGCCCAAGACAGGCCATGTATCACAGAATATTTGAAGTAGGACAGCAGAAAATTGCAAAGAATCCTGCTGAGTCTAGGACAGGACAGATAAAGGTGTAGAGACCCAGCACCACTCTCCTGTTACAGAAGTACGCTCAAACATGAAGACATCACTCAGCACCAACGTCAATTTAATTCTTCTCTCTTCAGGACAGGAACAGGGCAAATAGCCCTGGAGTTACATCAGCAAGCGGAAAGAGGAGTAAGGGACAACTGCGCTGGGAAATCCCAGCTAA